AAAAGCAGTGTCTCCGAGGACCCCCCCCCAAAACCTGCATTTGCTGACCCTAATTCAGTTGCACATCCACAACCTGGCGCAGGTATATCAAATTGGGCTTTTAGTCAGCAGGCCCCTGTGCAAGCTGCACCTCCACAACCTAATTATACTCCACAGCATACAATCCCTGAAGTCCCACATGACATGCCGCCCTGGCTTCTTGAGTTCAGAGACAACTTCAGAAGCCTCCACTCTAAAGCCGATCAGCAACGTAAAGATATTCTATCTTTTGGTGCTGAAGTTCAGGCACAAGGAGTTCGGATCTCAGGACTTGAACAGGTCGCTAATGAGCACACTAGCAGGCATGAGTCTACGGACCATAAGCTCCATGAACACCAAAAGAAACACGAAGCCGCTGAGCGTAGGATCCAAGAACTTGAAAGGAAGCTTGCCGAACTCCTTGATGGCCAGGGTGAATCTGGCAATCGATCTCCTAGGAATGGCCTAGGCACTAGGGCTCGCTCCCCTTCACCCCGTTCTCCCCGTGCTGGCCATCGCTTCGAGTCTTCACTGACAGTTGATGCTGAGGATTTGGACATCGTTGTAGGGGGATGGCAGGATGCTCGAAAAGCAGATGCAATCCAAGAAACTGAGAATATATTTCATGCCGTTGGTTGCCAGGCCTCCATACAAGAGGTGTGGACCCCTTATAATCGTACCAGCTTCACTAAAGTCAAACTCCACTTCCCGAAGCCTGATGCTCACATTTCAGTACGTCGGCAGTTTCAGGCCGGAATCATTGAAGCTCTTAAATCCAAAATCTTCACAAGCGGAGTCGCTGGAAGTGTTGGTGCTAAGTTGTGGGTCACTAGGTCCAAGACCCCTGAGGAACGAGCCCGAATCCGCGCAATTGTACTCTGTAAAGAATTCTACAAGAGCCTAAAGGATGAACAGGGCAACTCTCGTTTCACAGATCAGTCTCTCGAGATCTCCTGGAATGGCAAAGTGTATTTCGACACCTTCCAGCTGCTTGGATCAGTCATTCGGGATGGTGAACCCGAGCCCTTTGATGCTTGCATTGAAGACTCTAAGGGCAACCACATGAATTGGTACATCAAAGCCAACGTTTACAGCAAAATTACAGGAGCCAGCCCCGAGAGCTTGCAAGACACATGGTTGAATTCCGGGCCCACCTCACCACATGCCAGAGCAATGGACTGACTACCTAAAGGCCTTCAACAGTTTCACTCGATGTCTTGGAATATACAAGGTAAAAACCTTGATGACATCAAAAATTCATGGCCCCTTCTTAATATGGAAGGCTTTGACGCCATTGGGTTGCAGGAACTTGGGGGTTTCTCACACTTGAGTCTCCCTTGGACAATTGCAGACGTGGTCTTGGATGGATCTTGGGGATTCTACGTCACAAATCCCCCGCTCGCCCATAGGGCTGTTGCCGTTGGGATTCCATCTCGTTTTCTCACCTCGGTTGATCATGTACGAGCCTTTAGTTGTGGCATTTGCGTCACACTTAAATTTGATGGATGCAAGAAATTCATAATTTGCGCACACCTCCCTCATAAGCAACGTTCTGACTGCATTGAGGTTTGGCAGGCTTTTGCATCGGAGCTGGAATTCATTCTCGATCATAGGAGGTATTCAGATTCGGTTATCATTCTTGTTGATACTAACTATGAAATTGGCCCACCCCACTGCCTCCTGGACCCAAATGGAATTGACGAGAGAGGGTTTCTTGCCGGTTCGATTCTTCAGAAACATGGGCTTGATGCTACCAGACCTGATATCTATACGTGGTCAAATCAAAGGGGGTCTGTCTCTAAAATCGATTACGTATTCACGGATTCAGGTTCTATTACTTCCCAAGGTGTTTTTGAAGATTCCGACTCGCAACTTGGGTGTGACCACAGAGCCGTTTTCGCCTCCTCGGAGTGCTCGGGACCTCAGCTTCGTTCTTTTAAGAAGAGACACCGGGGTCCTAACAAATGCGGGAAATGGAAGGTTAATTCCGTCAAACTCCTTCAACAAGCCTCTGAACTCGCTGAACATCTCGAACTACAAGAGTCAGATTTCACAGTTCAACATTTGGAGAAACTTTCCTCTGCTTGCTCATTTCGACCTAAATCCTTCAGATACACTGACCCACCCTCCTTGCTCGAATTGATCAAGCAAAGGAAACGTCTCTCTGGGAGGGAAGGTCGAGAACTTGGTCGAGAGATCGCAAAACAACGAAAAGACGAGAAAACCAAATGGCTCTCCTCTGTTCTCGATAAGGCAGCACAAGGTGACTTCCAGGCCATTTCCTACTTTAAAAGGAGACAGTCTGTCGTTACAACACATTCAAATTACATAGTTCGGGCAGGGGGCAAGCAGCGCGCAGTTAGTGACCTCCGCAAACACTTTTCCCTCAAATACACACCACCCAACCCTGATTCCTTTGAAACTCCTACTCGTATCCTCTTAAAGGCCGGCCCCCCTCCTTCCTCCACACCCCTCATCACGGTCCAGGAAATCACTGATGTCCTCAACACCTGTAAAACCGGTAAATCGTGTGGGGATGATGGGATTTCTTATGAATTTCTCACTGTTATTGCCAACTCGGATCTATCACATCACCTTGCCGACCTTTTCAACTCGATTCTCTTTGACACAGCTCCTGTTCCCGACTCGTGGTTGCTTTCCCGCCTCACTTTTATCCCCAAAATTCCCCTTCCTTCCGAACCCAAACACCTTCGCCCCATCGTTCTCAGCTCCACCCCTGCTAAAGTTTTTACAAAAATTCTTCTTTACCGACTCCGCCCCTCTTTTCCTCCTCCCCTCGCCAATCAATTAGTCTGCATTCCCGGCTGCCAAACTTTAGACGGTTCTACATGCCTCCAGCACCTGGTTCACCTTAGTCAGGAATATAGCCTTCCCCTCATCGCAATCAAATTAGATGTCGCTTCTGCATTTGACAATCTGTCTCACTCCGCAATCGCTTCTTACCTCTCTACATGTGGCCCCCACCTCGAAGCCCACGCTCTCCTTCGCATCATCCTCCTTTCCCGAGTTCTCGTCAGTATCTCTGACGTTTCATGGGAACAACGTTTGCACCGAGGAATTGTTCAAGGATCATCCTACAGCACTGAAATATTTGCACGTACTATTGACTTCTTTCTGGGCCAACTGGTTTCTCATTGGCGTACAAACGAATCAACATGGATGCAAAGCACTGATCCAAATGGCGTCCATGATTTCCTTTTTAACCTTCTGTTTGCTGACGATTTGATTCTTCTTGCTACATCTTATGAGCAGGCTTCTCGTATGCTTGAGCAGGTCATGGACACTTTATCTGCTATTGGACTTACTCTCGCACTCGAAAAATGCAAATTTCTTGCCTCCCCCGATCTCGGCTCCCATCCTCTTACAGTACGAAACGTCACTGTGAAACAAGTCTCCGTCTTTAAATTTCTGGGTGTTTTAATTGGTTTTGGACTTTCCTGCCAGGCTGTCCTGGGCGCTCGTCTTGCAGTCACTCAAAACTCCTTTTGGGGTTTCTTTAGGATCTTGAAACGCCCCGGCAGTATGGTAAAAAAGAGGCTCCATCTTCTCAATACTTTTGTCACGTCAAAATGGCGGTGGATGTCCCCCTGTTTTCGCCCAGTCACCAACATTCGCAATATGCTTCGCATCATGCACACCACCTTGCTTACTTCCATTTGCAACCTCCCCCCCGACCCGTTTATCACACTCTCCGCAAATTGGATGGTCAAACGTCGTGCCTCTCGTATGATTGCCCAAGCTGTTCAGCATAAAAGTTGGCATGGTCTTCATGCACACTGTTTCTTTTCATACTGGGGGCACGCCTCACGTATTTTTCATTACCGGGCTTCACCTATAACCATTGCCCTGCATATTCGTGATAATGCCTGGCTACAAGAATTTGGCCACCGTATTAAACGCAACCTCGGCTTCTGGCCCAACTGTTACCGCTTTCTACAACTTGAATACGAATCCCTACGCACCCCCTCCGACCCTACATTTTGGGACGTGCACGCACAAAACAAAGACAACTGGATTGGTTTCGTCCAGACTTGGCTCGACTTCAAAAACTTGAACCCGACCAAGTTCTACGACTCCCTCCCTGAGGTTGATCTACATGGTAGATGTTTACTTCAGATAGGTGATTGTTTCAAACTACTGCCGTTCCGTCATGTCCCTATTGAACAACCTTACGGAACATCCTTTGAGATCATCCCCGAGCCCCAGGTAGATTATGACTGTGCTTTCATACAGGTCTGTTCGGATGGTGGGGCAAAAAGTAGTGAGGGTTCTGCAGCTGTCACTATTCTGGGCCCTTATGCTGAACTTTCAGACGCAATCATCTTTCAACAGAAGCTCCCCAGACCCTGCACTAACAACAAAGCTGAACTCACTGCTGCAGTTCAAGCACTGAAACTCCTGCAAACCATACTTCGCTTCTACCCCCACATTCCTTTTGTTTACATGACTGACAGCATGCTTGTTATTCAAGCCATTGAAGAATACGCTAACATCACTTGCCATCCCCATACTGTCCATGAACTTGTACATCTGTGGAGATCCTTATGCCGTTTTGGCAAAGCCGTTCATGTCAAAGGTCATGCAGGCCATGCACAGAACACATTGACCGACAAAGCAGCTTCTGAGGCCTTGAGATTCCCACACTTTCATCAAGTATGCAGGAACTGTTCCTATAGCAAAGCTTTTGTCCTGCAACCAGGCCATTCCCCTCCTCCTTTCCACCATTGGCTCTAGAGGGGGGGGGGCAGGGCGGACTTTTAAAGGGGTCTTGCTGGCACGGTTTCTATCTTTAGCGCGGCCTTCTTGCTGTAGCTTCACTGTTGCCCCGCTTTCCCAGGTTCCTCTCACTAAAGCAGCCCCAAAAACCCCAAAACCAAACAAAAATTCGCTGCTCTTGAGCGCTGAGGCCCCAAAATCCCTCAAGCTTCCAGTGATTAGTGCTTTTGCCATTGCTGCGCACAATGGAGTTGCTCCCCCAGGAAAGCCTGTACTGGCTCCTTCTTGAGCCGAACTGGAAGGCCTTCGCAGGTCTGACTTTTCTGCTTTTGGTCACAGTCGGTCAAGTCTACATGCTCTTGCGCAAGATGAACGCCAGTATCAACCTACTGGCTTCACTTCCTGCCGAAGTCGCCGACCTCAAGGAACAAATGTACCACTTGACACAAGTCCCAGGATCAGTGTCTGCCACTACGGCTGATGGCACACCGCGCGAAGGCCCAGGTGCTAGCCCGAGTGCCATGGCCTCCATAGCCAATCAGCTGGACTGCGTGGATGCAAAGCTCCTGGATTTGGGAAAGCTTGCTCAATCCCTCCAACTGGAGATCAAGCACGGCACGGTCAAATCACAGGTGGAGGAACTGCTTGTGATGGTGCAAACATCACAGATGCACCTCACAAATCTGGATTCGCCAATGAAGGACTCTGCCGAAAAGCTACGTGACCTCCATGAACAGTTCAAAAGGGGACATGTGGTGGATATCATGAAGATGCTGGCTTCTAAAGTTGAAGCATCTGAACTGGAGGCTATGAATACGAGTCTCCAGCAAGTGCTCCTCGACATTGTCAAGAAGCTTGCTCTGAAAGTTGAGACAACCGAGCTCTCGGAACTCAATCGACTTGAGAAACAGGCTCTCATGGAGAAGATCGTCAAGGTGGAAACGACTGGCGACAAAGTTCAAGACCTCTGCAAGACACTGAGCAATGAGATTCATGTCTGTAAGACAGTGGTAGCTCAGAAGGTTGATGCGCTCCAGAAGGACATGACTTCGCACATGGGCTGGTCCACTCAGAACCTACGGCCACTTTTCCCATGTGTGCCGATGATCAAAACCATTGAGACCCAGCTCAAGGATGCGATCGACTATCTGGCCAGGAACTACAAGAACATGGAGCAGGTGACCACGGCAGGCGAACAAACGATCGAGGCAGTTACCATGGTCAGACAGGCTGTCAATACTCAGATGGAGTTCTCCGAGAACCAGGACCAAAGGATTGGACGGGTTGAGTCCATCGCCAGTGGCACACTTGATGTGCTAAATGAGACACAGGACCAGGTGGCAGCCATGGCTCGCGAGCATGCTGCGATGTTGCAGCAGGTGTTGGAGCGGTTGCCAAAACTCCCGCTTCGGAAGCCACCACCAGCGGACACACAGGCTCCCAGCCAACCGGCTTCCTCCTCGACACCAGCACCAGACGGCCCACAGCCACAAGCTATGCCATCGCCTATGCCTCCACCGATGCAGTCGCCTCCGGTGCACCAGTCGACGATGCAGATGAACCAGCAGCCGCCTTCATTCGAACTACGTTTGAATGATCACATGCCGCTGCAAGTGAACCCACGCCGCCAAGCACCGCAGATCTTCATGATTACTGAGCAACAGTCTTCTCAGCCAGTTTTGAGAGAGGTAACACAACAAGACGTCTTCCGGGCCCTTTTCCCACAACCCTGACCTACTACTTTAGGTCCTTGAATCTTCCTCAGCTTATTCCCCTTAGGGCCTCCTCTTCCTGGAACAGACCCGTGAAGACGCATTGTCCGTTAGGCTCATTTTGACACTCTAAATTCAACTGCAATATGCACGCATGTCTATCATGTACAAATTTGCGATACGCTTGCACGCCGCTAATTGTCACATTGCATGCAACAGTTTAATTTGGAATTTGGAATTTCACTGCCAGTCAAGTTAATTCATAATTCAAACATGAGTGTCCTGCCGAGTCACTGGCTTCTTCTGACCTGCGTTTCATCGCACCTGCAAAAGACATCGTTAGCTGCGATTCTCCTGCGTGCACAGTTGAGTTTCTGCGCTTGATGTCAGTTCATACCTTCTAGATCTTTGGGCAATGATCATGTGTAGAATCTGTTGACTGAAGTCAGTTCACACTGCCTGTCATTCTTTTGGCCCACAGTCCAGGACCACGGGAGAGCAAAGGGCAGCACATTTTCGGTTAAGTAGTTGGTCAATCACGCAAGCATGAAGCGACCGTTCTCAGATGCTCAAACCACCCCCCCAAGCCCGGATACCGTGATTGATGATTCTGATGTTGAGCTTGTTGAACACACCTCCCACCTAGGCCTTGACCCCCCATCTATCCGCCTTTTATCCCGAGCCCGGGACGTATGGGATGTAATCCCACGTAGAGCTCACACTCGAGATCCTTCAGAGCCTAACAGTCGCATCATTGTAGCAGGCGCAAATCCTCGCAACTCCCGACGAGCCACTAGCTTTACCGAGAACCTCCCCCACTGCACTAAATTGCTCACAGCCTTCCTTAGGCAAGAGGTCCCAGATTTCTGTTACACAACTATCAGCCTTCGACTCAACTCGGAACGACCTCCACATCGTGATCTCCGTAATGTGGGCCCTAGTTTGGTATGCTTGCTTTCAGAGGGACTTTCTGGAGGGCATTTATGGGTTGCTTCAGAAGACGGTGAAGTCATGCGACAGTTCCAAGGCGAAAGAGTGAAAGGTCGAATTCAAGACATCAGCAGACCTTTCATTTTCTCGGCTAGGAGCGTACTTCATGCCACACAACCTTGGGAAGGTCGAACCGACAGACTCGTAATTGTGGCCTTCACTCCCATTAGGTCCATCGACATTTCCCCTAGGCTTTCTGACCTCTTCCAATTCCCGCAGCACCCACTAGGAACGCCCTCGCTGACTGCCTCCCAAACCCACATACAGGATTACTTCAATACCCATGTTGAGGCTGTTGACTAGATCCTCAGTAGACCACGGCTGCTTAATTCACCCACCTTAATTCTTAATTCATAATTCACAATTCATACAGCATCTTGTCTGCAATTAGCTCGAGTCTTGGCCGCACAATCATGACGCTTCACTGCATTTAATGAGGCTTGGTCTGCATTCATGCAACTTAACGAAGCTTGGTCTGCATTCATGCAACTTTGACGGCAAGTCTTGATGATGCTTGGTCTGCATTCATGCCACTTTACTGCAAGTCTGCATTTAATTCTTAATTCGTAATTGACACAGAAATTGCAAAAGCAGTCGACCCTACTGTATCTAGTCTCTTCGTTTTGCTAACCCACGACCCCTTAAAAACCAAAAACCAAACAAAAAAGAGGGGCCCACTTTGCACCGATGCCCACTGCTCCACGCAACCTACCCTCACTCTGCTCCCCTTCACACCGATGCGCCACTGTGCCGTGCCGTAACTACGGGGGTCCCCAGGGACATGCAGAATGGGGTCAGGGCGCCTTGCAATTCAGGGTTTTATTTTGGTGACGTACTGCATTGCCATGGTCTGTTCTGTCTGCCTGAAGTTGCGGCTCTCGTCTTCTGGACCTTCACTTCTGACTTTTGACGGAGGCTGTACTCCAGATCACTTGGTGAGCCAGTACATATTGGGCTTTTGCTTTTCCTTGTACACTGGACCTTTACTGCCTAGTGCACATGAAGGAGGCTGTACTCCGGAGAATAACAGACAACCTTGACACAATGCTGGGATTGATCCTGAATCGTGTTTGTCGAGAAGGGAGGCTGTACTCCACTCCAGGAACGCTTGAAACGTCATGGAGGCTGTACTCCACTGGTGCTCACTTCAAAGGCTCCGCTTGGATTTTCATCTCTGCGGGTTACATCGGACCATATCGGACCACACAGCTGGTTTTGACAGGAACGGGAACAACTGACTTCCGACGACATTGATTCTGGGACTGACCATCCCTCGCCACCCTGGATTACAAAGTTACAATGTTGCCCTACAACTCTATCTGGCGCGGGCAAACTGCAGCCTCGGAGTTTCTGTGCAACAGTGCAAACACTACAGTGAAGGGATGGAGGACAGACGACAGACGGATGCTGAGCCAACGGGCCATCTTTGAGGGCATGTGTCTGAGCCTTTTGTGAGGGTGAAAGTGATGGAGACATGCGGGATGGCTGTGTTGAAACATGTTGCCACCGTGTGCTCCTCCAATGTTACTATGTGCGTTTTTGCATTTTTGTGTGAAGGGAATCCTTATGGGATATTCTATCCCTTCCTGTGCTTCATACAGCAACGAAGTTGAGTGATGGGAATTAATCCGAGAGCTTAATGCCACCAGGATTTTGTTGCAAGACTGTCTCCCAGTGTCAGACCTCGCGAGCGGACTTCGATTTCCAGCCATGCGAGAGGGAAAAAAAAAGACCCTGAAACTCTAAACCCTAACCCTTTCATTACCCTCAAACCCTAATACTATGGCACTCTGCCTTCTAACCCCAAACCCTAAATAACTAAAGACCCTGAAACTCTAACCCTAACCCTTTCATTACCCTCAAACCCTAACACTATGGCACTCTGCCTTCTATGGCACTCTGCCAAACCCTAAATATACGAAAGACCCTGAAACTCTAACCCTAACCCTTTCATTACCCTCATACCCCTAATACTATGGCACTCTGCCTTCTAACCCCAAACCCTAAAGACCCTGAAACTTTAAACCCTGTGCCAGGTCTTCTTCATCCTCGTCTTCTTGGAAAAATATTTAAAAATGTAGAAAAAATATGTTTTTGTGTTTTAAAGTTTTTAATCAATTTCAAAAGTTTTTTAAAGTCTTTAAAAGTCTTTCAAAGTCGTTTAAAGTTTGTAAAAGTTGTTAAAAGCTTTTAAAAGTATTTTAAAGTCTTTTAAAGCCTTTACATGTCTTTGAAAGTTTTTAAAAGTATTTTAAATATTTTAAAAGCCTTTTAAAGTTTTGAAAAGTCTTTTGAAGTTTGTTAAAGTCTTCTAAAGTTTCTAAAAGTCTTTTAAAGTTTTTAAAAGTTTTTAGAATGTTTTTCTTGCATTTTAAAGTTTTTAAAAGTCTGTAAACGTTTCTAAAAGCCAACGACTATGTCGAACAAGCCCTGTGGATCTAAACCCTGTGGTTCTGGTTCGGTGCAAAGGGTCAATGAGTAATGCAGTAGTAGTACAGTAGTAACACGGTACGAGGTTTTTAAGTGTACTTGGAGCTGTTTAACGGTTTGGGGGGAGCACCAAAGGCTGGAAACCAAAAGCCCCGATCACTCCAAGATACTACCAACACTGAAAGCCTTTCATTTTGAAGACTTGTGCCTCCAACCTACACTCCCCTCCACAATCGACTACGTCTGAGGCCTGGTACGGTACAGTTAAAAAGTCAATTGCAACAATGTCACATTTTCTTCTGAGGAAGCAGAAGGTGGACGCTGAGATCAAGCGCATCGTGGACGAGCAGTACCCTAGCTATATCATCGATATTCTGCGGAGTTTAGACCAGGACTACGCAAAATACTCGCAACATTTCAAAAACCAAAACCCCCGAAATCACGAACATGCTACTGGCTGGCCCTCCCTTAAGTCTCCCCCTTAAGCCCTTGCCCCTACCAAGCCGACCTGGGTAATTTAGGGTTGCATTAACCAAATCCCAACCCCCCCTTCCAGCCCTTCCCGGAAGCTTCGGCCCCAACCTCCACTACTTGGAGGTTCAGGGGTAGTTATATGTGGGGTTATAAGTCGGGTAGCTTATGCGTAAGTCATTTTGGGGGACTTATAACCCTACTTATAACTACCCAGGTGAACCTCCAAGTTCCAGCCTTTCTTCAAGCCTTTGACGGAAGCCTCTGCCCCAACCTCCACTGGGGTTAGGGTCAGGTTTTCCGGGTCAACCCTGAATGGTCGGGGTTGGGGTGGACCCCTACCCGAGCCTCAAACATGTCTCTTAAAACAGTTTGTTTTGGGTGTGCTTTTTTCAGAAAATAGGAAGTTCAGTAAACCCGTAAACCTGAACCCCAAACCTTCCAGCAAACCCTGAACCCTCAACCCGTAAACTTAAGCTCTACACTCCGGTACCCGCAACTCTAAGCCCTTTAACCACACATCCTAAACACAGGTATCAGCGTGGCATGAAGCTGCTTCGAGACAACAGGCACCTAGAATCCCAGTTTTGGGGGATCAGTGGGACTTAGTAACTCAGGCTATCGGGAGGGTTTCTACAAAGGTGTCTATAGAGGTTGCTTAGTGTTTTGCGGTTGAATCATGAAAACGCTAGCTAACCCCCCCCTAACTCCCCCCTCCCTAAATAGTGCCTTATTAGAGTCGTAATAAGGCTTTAGCTTGGGCCAAGCTAAATAAGGAAGCAAGACTGGAATAAGTTATTTTGGTCCTAATTGGTTGTCTTCCGATTAACGCCAAATTAATGATTAATGAAGCATCATTTGCACGGACATCAAGAACACAGGAGCCCCAACAAGGGCCCAAACAGAGCCCAATTAGGGCCCAATTAAGGCCCAATTAAGCCCCAATTAAGCCCCAATTAAGGCCCAATTAAGCCCCAATTAAGGCCCAATTAAGCCCCAATTAAGCCCCAATTAAGCCCCAATTAAGGCCCAATTAAAGCCCAATTAAGGCCCAATTAAGGCCCAAATCAAACCCAAACAGAGCTAACAAACACTCCCAGGATGCCCTAGGTCCTGGAAACGCGATCGCC